TGCAATTAGTGGTGGTGGGTAGTGGTTAGCTTGTTAGCCATCGGCCGATTGAGATTAGCAGGATGGCTGGATCATTGTATTTTTTCTTGAAAACACAGATGAGAATGTGCTGAAGGTCGGAAAAAGAAAAAGAGGAGTAGGACTAGGCATAGACAAATATGTAAAAAGAGTAAATTTGGAAATATACTGTCTGTCCGGGGATCGGAGCTCTCATCTGTCCAAGAGAAATATCCTCATTTTGATATTGACCGAAGAAGAATATGTTTCCACTCTACAGCTCAAATCATGCCAACAACCGCAGTCCCAGGATTGATTGGATTATTGACTTGCTAAAAAGAAATCTTACGAGGGGGCGCTTATTCAAATTAGAAGGGGCGCTTATTCAAACGGGGCGCTTAACGAAATTTTCACGTTAGGAGGGACGGTTATTCGAGAGGAGCGGTTATTCGAGAGGGGCACTTATTCGCGCGAGTACGGTACCTGTGTATTATATCGTTTTGTGCAATTGTGTGACATTGTAAAGCTAAATTAATTTTTGATTTTTAAATTTGTTATATACTTATATCTTTTTAGAAAGAAGACAATTTTCATGAATTTGTAATGAATTCATGACAATAAAATTCATTCTGATTCTACAATATTATTCACTTGACTTTTTCCATATTTTTTAATTTGTGGGAAAAAACACTATAAAGAAACCAAACTGATGACGGTAAAGACCTATAATTGAAAGACTAAAGCCAGACACTCAACGCTCAACGCAGTTGTCGACAGACACAACTCCATAAAGAATGCAATGCCTCAATGAGCACAATGGATCGTTTTTAATGACAATCCATTCAGACACCGACAATGAGCAGGTCCTGCTATGTAGACTGGCGCTCACAGGAAGCAGAGAGTAGGATTCGCCATACGATGATTGTACGACCGTTGTACAGTGCAGTGAACATCTGGCTTTACCAGTAGGTATAAATAGTAGTAGTATAAATAGGAGATACAGAAATTGATGCCATATGCGGCCTGTCTCATAAAAACTATATAATTTTCTAATTTCGAAAAGCTTTGTAAATACTTCTGTTGGATTGTTGGTCTGGTTCAACTGTGAAAGTCACTGACTTCCTTACTATATGTATAGTAAGGAAGTCAGTGGTTCCTAGTCTTTAAGGACTTGTGGCCACTGAATAATCTTTTACTAATTAAAAAAAAGGCATTTGTCAGTTTACCTGTTGTACTTGCAGTAGAAGCAACAACACGATAACTTTCCACGGTCTGTAAGGAAGAAAAATGGTGAATTTAACAACAACCGCTCCCACTGTTTGCGATGATTGCAGCATTTATTAGAAACAGTCCAGACTGGACTGGAGCTAAAACTGGGGTGTTCTGATGAGGAAACCATCATCCAAAATGTTGAACAATTTAAATTGTTCATAGTACCTGAATTAAAGACAACCATAAGAGGAGTGCAGTCACACCAAATTTCATGCAAGGCCGAAAATGTTCCATTGGATCAGGTTGGCATTAAAATTGCCTATTTGTATTAAATGCAGTTCCGTCGATAATGATCGATAACGATAACAATAAAAACCAAAAAATAATTTTTCATACAGAAAATAAAAGAAGTAATTACACTAGGATGATACGATAAGACTTATCGTATATATAGTACAATAAAAAATAATTTCGACAAATCAATTCAAATGACGCCATAATCATCGAACAACCTGTATTCAACTAATAATAATTGGCCTTAAATATTTAATTAATATACTGTATATATTATAAATTTCATTCTGGTGTGACGGTATACATTTTTAAAGTAAATTTTAATTGAAGAATTTTAATTTTTTTTATATACAGGCTAAGCTATATCCTATTCCTAACTAGTAGTGCCTAGGCCTAGAGAATGTTTTTGTTTGGAACGGTGTCAGGAAAACCAACTTTTGATAGTAATTTGGTTTACCTTCTTTTTTGGACTCCCTTCTCACCTCAGGTTCAGCACTGTTTTTTAATTGGTAAGTGAATTTTTTTTTTTAAGCTTGCCTTACAAGAAAAATTATAAATGAAATTAAATGCCTAGGCCTTAGATTACTACTCAGTTATACTTGAGTGTCTATGTATAAACAGGCGCAATGCTGGCGATAGAAATGGCCTAAGCCGTGTCTAGGCCTAGCCTAGTAGTAGTAATAGGATAGCCTATAAGGCTCCATGGTAAGAGGATGGCCCTTCCTTCTTGAATACGTTTTTGGTTGCTTGGCATTTAGGCCTAGGCTAGCCTTACTAGGCCTGGGCCTATTCTAGTATGGGTCACCATTCTATGTGTCTTAAATCATTATTGATTGTTTTGAACTCACAATATCAGTACTGGTTGTTTCATCATCGCTGTCGCTTCTACTGCTGCTACCACTACTTCCCATCATGGATGTAATCATGTAACACTTGTTATTTAAAAATAGTCATGCTAACATTTCGAGCCAAAATCAAAGTCGCTGAGCCTCTAACTTTTGCGGAAGCAAAAACACAGGGCGCTGACATTTTGTTGGAATCTACCATTTCAATGAAGGTTGATTAATCAGATTGTATTTAATGTATGATACCTTGCCTTTACAAAATGACTATATTATTATATAATTCATTTGTTATTTCATAATTTTCAAGCTGAAATATAACAAATGTAGCCTATAAATAATATTTGTGACTCCCTTTGTCGACCACTTAGGCTAGAGCTGTGTCAGATTTCAAATGGTGGGTTCAGGCTAGGTTAGGGGGTTTTCCATCCAAATCCAAGTTTTCAGAAACGTTCTGTCTGTACTGTATCTCCCAGCTTTGTTTTTTATTTTGTCTAATTAAGATACTGTAAATGGTGGTTGTTGAACTTTTTTGGTAGGCCTACGTTTGTTTTTGTCGAATTGCCTCCTATAGTATTATATCACTACTAAAGGTAAGACATGTTGCATTTCTAACTTGAAATAAATAGCCTTGCCTAGCTAGGCCCTACCACCTAGCATATGCCTGTATGTAATCATTCATATAGTAGGTTAGGCTACGTTCAGACCTGAGAGATACGCCAGGCGTATCTAACGCCGGGCGTACGTTAACCCATGGCGTAACTAGCGAGATGTCCAGTCAACTTACAACTTACAACTGGGCGATTAACGAATGCTAGCGTAAGTATTTGCCTGAAATATTCGTATAAGTAATTCGCGCATTTTATTTTCTGTTAACATCTAGGCTTATTTTGATGAATTTTAAATATTTTATATTTTTATATTGTACATAGAAATATTTTACTACAATCTTCGCCTGTAAGTGGGACCTTCTTGGTCCTGTTGGACGATTGAATAAATAAATAAATAAAAAATAAAATTTTGATTGATTAAATCCTGGCTGATTTAAAAATCACTGATGCGTGACTGTCGTAAATCAGTGGCGTACGCTAATCTGGGGTCTGTTGCTGGATTACCGTATGCCAGTGATTGCGCGGTATTACTCACATTCACTACGCCGTGCCCAACCAAATTCACACTACTTAATTAACGATATGCTAACGTAATTCGTTGTGTCTGAACATAGCCTTAGCGACCGCGCTTAAAATGTGTGGAACACCAGTAGTGCTAATATACAAATTGATTGGGATACAGTATAGGCCTACTTTAGGTCTTAGTATTCAAATCCGGTCATATCGTACTCGTTAATATATTTCCCACCTTCTTTACTAATTGTAATAAAACTAAAGACAAATAAATATATTGAAAATTCAATATTTATTATTCTGATGCCTAGACTAGAAACCTAGGCTAGGCCTAAGGAAGCAGGTCAACTCGGCCCCAAGCCAACTCGGCCCCAGGTCAACTCAGCCGAGTTAATAATGGAAAAGTTTAGAGATTAAAATTTTGTGGTCAACAACATAAAAATTTTTTGGTAAGTCTGAAAAATAAGCTTAAAATTAAAATTGTATTTTCAAATGACTCAATAATGTTATTAATAAGTTCAAGTATTGCATGACAGGTTGAGTGATTCAATATAGCTTCTTAAAATATTTTTTACAATTTTTTTTTATTTATTTTTTTTTTACTTTCACTTGAAATTTATGCACATCGGTCAAGGTGTATAATTACCATGCCATTTTTTTCTATTTGTTTTCTGTCATTTTAATAAAGGATATAATAAAAGGTCAAGCTTTTGTTTAAGCCTATTTTTTAAAGTTTGTTCGCTTGTATTTATAAACACTACAGTGTATATACAATATTTATAGGCTACCCATACTAATGTTTGTTTAAGATGTTAAATTGATTAAGATAGTTAAAAAGTATTCTGTGCATGAGTTTTTGTAGTATTTTAGGAAAGATTGTTAGTATGGATATAGGTCTATAATTATATCTATAACGATGGTAATATCAGGAATAACTTTTGGGTATTTGGTATTGTACCGGATGGTAATGATTAGTTGATGGCGAAAGTTAGTTTGATTTAGGTATAATGATTGGAGATACAAGTTTTAAGGTCATGCCCAGCACCTTCTTTTGAATCAATATTATGAGTAAATGAAAATAATTCAGATTCAGTGACGGGATTGATAAAAAATGAATTAATAGGTGAGACTGGTAGGGATCAATATCTGATGTTGGTAAAGATTTATTTTTTTTTATCGATTCATGAAAAAAAAAAGAATACGTATGCAACTACTCAATTCTTTTATGTGTATACACACATACCGGTAGGCATATACTGTAATAAGAATGAGAAAGATTTACCTGACCATTTTCAAGGGGGGATAAAACCTTGAATTTTTAAGTCATTAAAGACACTTCAGAAGGTGGGAAAGCTCATTCCCCGCCATCTAGGAATCAAAATTTCCCACGGGGAGGACCCCTTTTTTTTTTGGTGGGGAGGGGTTCTTAGGAACATCTTGACTCCTGCTAAATTTGAACCCAGGTCCGCCCTTGAATTACTGATCAATTATTGTAAAAACAAGGAAAAGTGACCTGTAAATCTTTATCTGGTCCTGTTTGTTTGAAATTCCACAGCTCTTATTACCCTGTACCTGTATACTGTATATTTGAATACTTGGTTGCTATGCATTTTACTATACTAACTTGAGAAGTCTGAGATTAGAATAGTAGTAGTAATTGCCTACATTACTAAATTAATGAAATCACTCATGACCATGTGCAGTAATGCTGAAGGCTGGCTAGGTCTCAGTTGGCCTAGTTCTTAATTATCAGCCAATAGTTTATAAAAATCACATTACTGATTGGTATTTTGTTACTGTATTTATTTAAACATATTTTGCACCTGTTTCAACCACCATCAAATGAACTAGGATAGACTTTCTCTAACCAGTTAATATTTAATTCAAATATTACTATCAACAAATTCTTTGTTTGTAATCCCTGGGCAGTTGAATGATACCTTTGCTGTATTCGTTTTTATAAATTGGCTAGTTATCAATTTAAAGATTTTTTAAATAAGTAAAAAAAAAAATAGGTTTATTTTATCTGGTTTTTTTTGGAAGTTAATGACTTGTTTGATCTATTTTAATATGAGCTAAAAAATTATGCAGACAGTGTATCTTCATTCCATTATAAATTTATCTGAGGTGAATTTTTGAATTATGAGGTCAAATGTCATAACTTTTTAAAAAAATTGCTGTAGACCAAAATGCATCACGATGTATGTGTATACGTATGCACAGAGTATTATACAGTTCGCCCTCCAATTCGAGTCCGCCCTTGGGACCTGAAAATTTGGGGTGGTCTCAGGGTTGGTTTCCAATTAGAGGGCTAGGTTGAAGATTGTTATTTGGGTCTTTGGAAAAATTGTTTTAAATTAGAGGGGTCTCGGAATTTGAGGTGTCTCGAATTGGAGGATGCACTATAATACTTAAATGCATGAGGTTTTCCAAGTAAATTTCTGATCCATAATACTTAATTTTTAGAAAATTATTCTCATTGCCCTTCTGGCCTTATAAGTTTATATGAATACATTGACACTCACTATTCTGTCCATAGACTGTAGAATTAATTAAGGTACACTTTCAAATACCCAGCTTCCAGTTCATGTGTGTAGTCACTAAAGTTTGCCTGGAGAACAACATTACATTGCAACTATATTCAAATTTTTATTTTAATACTTCAAGTGGCAGTTAAAAAAAAAATTATGAAAAGTTTATTATGTATTTTATAAATTAGTAAAGGCTAAGGATGAAAAAAATCAAGAAAAGCAAGGAAAATTCCACAATAAAAATAATAAAAGCCATAAATTTTGGAATTATAGCACTGGACAGGACAAGTATATGAGCTTGTAATATTTCACTATTTCTGTCCTTTCAATTATATTTATGAATGAGTATTCTTGTTTATTTCAGGAATGAATGAAAGGAATAAATTGAAGAAGCAGCTCTACAAAAGACAGTGAACATGGATACAAGTAAAGGTAAACTAAAAAGCAGCCCTACTGTACTACACCCCATCGGGCCATGATTCAGTTTAAGTGTCACCACCAGAGAGCATTTGAGTTTACTTGTAGTTGCTTATAAAGAGTAAACTAAAATCTATTCTTAACTGAAAATTACTTACTTCCCAGTTAGTAAGATTTAGTATTGTATCAAACCCCAGTTTTCCCCAGTGGTGTTTAGTAGGACCACCTAAAAGACATTTCACTGGCTAAAACCAGGGCACTAGGCCATAAGGGATTCTGGGATATTTATCAGCATTTTTATCTCATACATTGGCTGAGTTTGTCCCTGATAAACCAGGCTTTCTGTGTCCAAACATTTGCCATATCAAATGCTTTTGACATTAATACTGTACTTCTTTTTGTTTACATTGTAGAAACAAGTGATGCAAGTTTTGCAGAACTTAAGTTACTTGTGTCAAATTGGTATGACAAACACATATCTATCAATATGCTGAAAGTATTGTACAGGGACCATGTAAAAGATATTTTTACATTACACGAGTCTTCTAAGACAATACAATTAATTGATTTGCTGATTGGTTCTGGAAATCTGAGTCCAAATAATCTCACTCTCCTGTATGATACTATTAAGGCAACAGAGCAATTTGGTCTGGAACAAGAAATTCACACTAAAATGCCATCATTCAAAATTTCCAAAAGTATCAGGGATAGTGTAATTACGAAATTCACACCACATCGGCAAAGACTTGTAAAGCTGGGAATGGCGCTCACTGCAAGTGATGTACAGAACATTAGTGAACTTTACAAAAAGAAACACACAGATAGATGGAGTTTGATTATGGATCTAGAACACAGCATGGTCATTTGTGAAGAGAACATGACAGCATTCATTGAAAAGTTGAAGAAACACGAACTTTACGAAGCTGTCAAAGCTTTAACAGAAGGTATTTCTTTTCTTTTATATCAATTTAATGAATTTTGATAACTGAAAAACTCTGTGCACTAAAAGGCTCTACAACCAAAGGATGGAGTACAATGAAACATAAGATAAAGTGTGAACAAAAATTTCAGATGAAATATGCCGGGCAGATTTAGGGTGGGGAGAGGGGGCTGTGTCGACCCTGGCTCCTCCCCCCTCCCTTTTTGGAACGTCAAAAAAAAAAAAAAAATAGATTGCCTAAAATGCCTTAGAGGTTATTTTTGAAAAACAACAATTTTGTAAGGAAATGCCCCGAACCCCTAGGGTAGTGTTTTCTCGATCAGCCCCACATTCGGCCCCCTTTTAGATAACAAAAGAAAAATTAAGATACAACTTCTTAATTACATTAGGAATTGGGATCAATGGTTTGCCAGATGAGAAATTGGCGTTTTTTAAACGAATTTTGTGTCGCCGACAGCAATGGAGTAGTATCACATGGTATTGTGACGTGACACTGCAGTACTCTATTGACACTCTGGATGGTTCAAGATAGGGTGTAAACAAAGTCCCTTTCAGTTCAGAATAGTTTGTTGATATATGAAGTATTCTTATAATAAATTGATAAATTTAGGAAGCCATCAATTATTTCCAAAGCTTGTAGAATGTTGCTTGAATATAATTGGACCCCCCTCAGGATGTAATTTATCTTCTCCTGGGGATTTAGAGGGTTATTCCAAATACCACATGATTTTAATCATTTTTACATTTACATAGTTTTCAAATTATATATTTCATGTATGGTATCAAAATAAATCAAATCAAACTGTTTCTTCCTGTTTGCAAGAATTTTGTATTTTATGATTTATGGTTGTATAAAATTAATCACATATAAGTTTGGCCTTTATGGTATTGTATAAAAGTCTTCCATGTCTGAACATGTCAAATTGCTTTCCTATCACTGTAAAGATGTAATTGCTAATTACGCTAAATAATATCTTACTTTAATGTACTGGTATTATTATTATTGAATTATATAATATAATTATATAATTATAAGTGGTAAGATAACTCATCTTATATTGTTATTGTTATTTGTGAAAATACTATTATACAGTACAGTAAAGTAGTTAATCTGGACAGTGGTGTATCCAGGATTTTGAAAAGCGGGGTGAGGAATAGAAATAGTACATGCACTTAACTTTATGCCAGGTGCAAAACTATTGAAAGAGCCTATTGATAACTATGACTACACAATTTAATTGGTCATTATTGTCTAAGCAAACTTACTTTGCCATTTATTTCCATTAATTCACTATTATTTTGTTGTATATTTGAACACAAAAGGTATAGGTATATGGTCACCGTAAAACTGTACAGTAGTTTTATTCTTGTCGTGGTCATTGTGGTTGTTTATTCACTGTGGGATGGTGCAGAATGCGGTGTGAACAAATTCCCTTTGCCAGTCAGGATATTTTCGTACAGATGCTGTTGTATTTGAATGTGCACAAAATGATAATTAAAAACTAGCATTTAATAATGGAACATAATTTTCATGTTTCTGTCTTTATGGTTATACACAGTACTTCTCCTCTTCAAATCAACAACAGCTTGATTTTTGTCCTGTGTCATTCCAGGTGGATGTTCTGGTCACCACTGATCATTTCTTGTAGAAAACTGAAATGTTATGAAAATATTTATTTAAACCAACACGCTGAAACCCTAGGTTACTATTCATTTCTTTAGTCTTGTTAAAGTACCTGTGTATAAGCATTTGAACCACTCAAATGCTCAAGCTTTCTCTGTGTCTGTACTAATAATTGTACAGTCAGAGCTTAATCAACGCGAGCCTTAACTCTTATTTCAACATGAGATCAAGAGTTAATTATAATGAAATAATGTACTGGTAATCCATTATTGAATTATATTTCAGACATTCCAAAGCCATCTTCAAACTCATTACATACAAGTGGTAAGATAAATAATGTTTATATTGTTGTTTTATTCTTATATAATTTGCAATTAAACTGTAGCTGAAACATAGCAAGAAAGCCTAATTTTTTTATTAGTTTGTCAAGAGATAAATATTCAATTAAGTATTATATAAAACCAAATGAAATTTTAGAGAATTTAATATATTTTTTTAAAATAAAAGATGTATTAAGTTACTCTATTAGTTATGCATACTCTTATTGTACTCACCCTAACAAATATAAAAGGAGTGACATAATGTTTCCACCAGAACCTTTGCCTTATGTGAGCAAATTCTGCCAATTTGTTTTTCCAACAATACAAAATATTTCTTATTTTACATGTCTTATATTTTCATAATCAACAAACAGGCATCTAGCTCTACAATTGATTCAATGAAATTTAATTTTTTAATTATGTTTTTTTTTTGTTCCCATTGAATGAAAAACCAAATGTATTGATTGATTTTGATCGTAAAAATACATTGATGTCAAACGAATTTAGCAGTAGAAAAAAAAAAATTGGCAAAACATCAGCTACTTTGATAGTGTGACAATTGCCTGAAAAGTGAAATATATTAATTTACCAAAATATATGTGTAGGAGCACATGACCACTTATCTTTCTCTGCTTTAACTTCCAAGTGATATCAGAAAATACTACAGTATACCATAGGCAAAAATGTAATCTTATTTAAAAAGTTGCTTTGCTTCAATAATTAAATTTGAGAAACCATGATGGGGTAGAAAAGGAAAGTCATTTCTACATTTAGAGAATGTTGATATTAAATTACTTTTATTTTCAGACATCCAAAATGCATTTTCAAACTCAGGGCATAGATGTGGTGAAGGTAATATATTTTTCATTCTTGTTTTCTTTTGCTTTTTATGTATTTCATCATTACAAAAGTTGGTCAAGTGGTGCAATAGTGTAGATGCAATGAGAGACTACTTGAAAATTATTGCTTAAAAATTAAGTAGGACCATCAAACAAGTCTAGATAGAGTAATGACGGTTATGCTTCCTTAAAAAAATCCTATAGCAATAATACTTTATTATTACACCCAAAAGCATATCTCATACGTTGTAAGCACACTTCCCAAGAACCCCCCCACCCTCTTTTTCACTGAAAACTTGCACTCATGAAGTAAAATATCACCATAATATAGTTCGTGCACTCTCACTTTTTCAAGCATTATTGTGCAGATATATGCAGTGCACATGTATGGTTCTGAAAATAGCTCCAAGGGAGGTTGGGAATATTTTATAGACATTTTGAATAGATTCATTTATTTGTCATCATGAAAAAAATATACAGTGAATCCTTGTCATCCCTGTGAACCATGGAAGCTCTATTATATTATCCACTTGTTTTAAGTAAAAGGATTAATGCTCTGAACAGACACAGGCACGGCTATAAGAATCCGCTGCAGCTAATATCGTTTGTGTAAAACCAAACATATGAGCCACTGATTGCCAATCTACCATCATGGCATTTATAGATACAGTACCAAAAAAGCCTTTGTAATTTTCAAACATGACATTGTACATCAAGATATTTATACTTATTTATATGCATATTAAATCTATTTAAAGCTACAAAAGCTTTTCCTTTAAAAAATCTGTAAATTATTTATTGATTTGATTCCCCATATTTTAATATCATATTTATTAATATTTTTAAATTATTATTTTTTTATTTGTTAGATATTCAACTGACATTAACCCAGCGGAAGCGAAAGAAAAGGGAAAGTGATGATGAGGATGGATCAAATGAAGTGGATCCACTTGACCTAGTTAATCAACTCACTAAAAATAAGGGCAATATGAAAATAAAAGATGCTGAAGAGATTTCATCAAAACTTGAAAAACTTAATGATTATTTCAAGAAAATATGTATAAAATTAAATGGAATTGAAAATGGATCTATAGTATTTCATCTATCTGTATATGATCCCAATGCTTTGATGAATCTATGGGAAATCAATATTAGCGGGAAACTTATCAAAGATTTGGCACAAATATTAGCCCAAGAGAAACAGCAGGAGTTCTTGGATGAATGGATGACATGTATCGATGAAAATGAATACAAATCTGCGCTCACAAAGCTGCAAGAAAATGGTGAGACATTGGATATAAATTATGAAATCTGTAAATTCTTTCTTCTATGACAAAGCTGCTTTAATTCTGATGGACTCGATCATTTTTTGGGAGATTTTGCTCTTAATTTCATTTACCCTCTTCCACTAATACACTGATACATGATGTATTGCAATGAGGTTTTATTATGTTCTGTATTTTCCAAACTCTGCTTTATTATTGTTGCATTCTCACAGCATTGCCTCCCAATTTCTCTAATTTACTGTACATTTTTCTACCATTGGCATTTGGCTGAGAAGTATTGCTCCTGCTTCTGGTACTGTAAACCCCAGTTCAAACCTTGGCCAGCATTGATTTTTAGTTGATGTCTGATTGCTCATCTCCTTGAATAACCCTCACATTGAGAGTTATAATAATATAATAATAATAATAATAATAATAATAATAATAATAATAATAATAATAATTGGAGCGAGCGAAATGGCCGAGCGGTTAAAGCAGGAGCACCATGATCATAGCCAACAATATCGGCACAGGTTCGCGGCCGGCTCGCTCCTATAGTTCTGGTGGTGGAACAAGTCTTCTCGAACAAGGACTACAAACCGTAGGCCCAGTGTACACAAATGGTCATGTGCACTTTAAAGAACCCATTACATCTTTCGAGATGAGTAGGGGGTTACCCTGGTGTACTAGTTCATTCGGCCGCTGTCGTGGACAGATGAAAGTGCGCCGGTTTACTGGCTGCTGAAGACATGAAGTGACCCTCAGGGGAGGAGAAAGTTATTGTAAAGTGCAACATCTAGTCCCAAGAGACCATGTATTATGCTCTATATAAGTCTCCAACCATTAATAATAATAATAATAATAACAACTTTATTTTAAAACGGAGAAAACTTGTATCACCATATTGGTGTTTTTCGCAAGAAGATAAGAATGAAATGATGAAACTTAAATTAAACACATACAAACATTTATAGGAATACATATTCAGCAATGAAATGTAAAATACTAAAATATTAACATTATAAAGACAAAAGACTAAAAAGTGATGTCATGACAATGTAGTTTAATTTTTTTTTGTTCATTATATTAAAATATTTAATTTTGTCAGTTATTTATTAGTCTTTTAAAAGTATAAATGTTAGGAGCAATTGTTGCAAAATTATTTAGGTTATTCCAGATTTCTGCCCTATGATACGAAAAACTTCTTGTATATTATATATACATTACATGGTGTAGTTAAGCTTTTAGATTTGATTGAATAAATTGCTAAAATTTGTGGGGCAATATGTAGGCCTAGTTGGCAAAACAGGATGCAGAATTAGTAATGTTAAAAATCTAGGCCCAAAACTAACAGAAACTATTATTTTCGGTTTGTACCAGTTGAGAGTATTTGTATCAATATTGTTTATTAATTGTAGTTTGTCTACTGTACTTATTGTTTGTTATTATCTTTCAGTTGTTCTCTCAGCTGTGGGGCATAGTTTAAAGAAATGTTGTGATTTCACTTGCAGGTCAATGCAGTTCAATGTTTAGTATCATAAGTGATGATATTGACTGGGAGATAGAACTGATAAAGGACTTAAACCGAATAAGACCAGAATTAAAGTTCACCATCATGAAGAAGTGGCAAGTAACCAAGCCGCAAACTATTGATCATTTAATAGGAGAAAGCAGGAAAATAATCATTGCATTTTCAGCAAGACCACTGATGGATTATTCCAAGTATGCTGCACACAGTGTTGTTATAGAAATGCTGGAAGCAAAAACACTTGATGATGCTAAGATAATACCAGTCAAAATATCAGAAGATGCTATTGTACCATCTGAGTTTGAATCATTCACTTTGTTGAATTTTGTTGAAGAAAAATTCATTGATAAATTATTAGAAAATTGTGGTAGGTATATAATATTTACAATTTTTCAGGATGGAAATTATTCATAAAAAGTAGATACAAAGTTTAAAGTTCAATTTGAAAGTCATTAGTATTTTAATGAGACCATGTACAGTATGTACATAACATAAATCTATGTCGAACACAATAATCGGCCAACAGACTGATTTGCCAGCTAATGGTCATTATTAGACAAGATAATAAATGGCAGAAGATAGATCAGCTTTGCGATATATTGGAATGTCGAAATGCATTGTGGGAGAACGGGGAGCAATTCAACCCGTCCACGCAATGGCACAATAATAAAGGTACCACTTGGGTTCATTTGTTTCCTCTAGTTCCTCCACTTTAGTCAAATGGTCAAATTTTACTCCACTCGCAAGAGGGTGGATGTGCCATTAGGTTTCATGCAAATAGATGTGAAGACCTCATTCTTTTGCTATTTCAGTTCTTTTTTATTAGACCGTAGTTCTATGCAGTGTGTTTCCAGCTTCAGACAGTGACAGTGTATCACATAAATCTGATCATTCATAGTTTTAATTTTTTTCATTTATCATTTTCATCTTTCTTTGAAATAGAATTGGTGGTGTCAATGCTGTTACTGGAAACCACAGGAAATAATGAATATTTTGGTTATATAGATTAAAAATAGTGAATCAGAAGATGAACTATATAAAAATGAGTATACTATGTTCATTACAAGATATTGCTTTTGATATAAAATAATGGAAATTAGTTGAATACTCTTTTGGTATCATTGTAGGTGCAGACAGTAAATCTGTTGTATTCCATCTTTCTGTGTCTGATGCTAATGCACTGGAAAATCTACGAGATATACATTTGAGTGGTGACCTCATCCAAGAATTAGCGGGAGTATTGGTACCAGTAGATCAACAGGAGGTGTTTGTTGAGAGATGGTCATCAGGATTAGATGAGAAGCAATACCAAGCTGCTCTGAGTAGGCTGAAGGCAAAAGGTGAGAGATTATATTGTAAGTGAAAAGTTGATTATGAGAATGCGAGTATAAATTATCCACACACATGTTGTTGTTCTCAAGCAAAACATTCATTTTATAGATTTCTGAACACAAGAAGTATGTGCTTTTGCAATTTAATTTAAATAAACATGTATTTTCTTGCTTTCCTCAATATAGAAAGTACTAGTTATGTATACAAATAAGTGAAAGTGCAATCATAACTTAATGAAAAGTAAGAAAAAAAATAAAAATTAAACTACTGTACTGTGTAATACATTTAAACATTGCAGACAGATACAAATATTTCTCTTGAGTCCACAAGAATCAAAGGTGTGATGTAAGACAGAAATTTGGTATATGGTGGTACTGCATTTAAAGGGATCATCAGCAATAAATGTAAGGGTTTCAAGGAAATTTCAAAATATTACTGAATTAAACGTTTTTTTCTTTGCTTTTCAAGGGGGCTCATATCATCTCTGTATCGTAAGTGATGATATAGAGTGGGAGACTAAGTTGATGGAGGACTTACAACACAAGAGACCAGAACTAAAGTGCACCATTTTGAAAAAATGGAAGCCTGAAACTATTAATAGTGTAGTAATAGAGAGCAGAAGAATTATCATTGCATTTTCACCAAAACCATTGATGGAATATTCTAAATATGCTGCACACAGTGTTGTTATAGAAATGTTGAAAGCAGAAACACTTAATGATGCTAAGATAATACCAGTCAAGGTATCAGAAGATGCTGTTGTACCAATTGAGTTTGAATCATTCACTTTGGTCAATGGCTATGAAGAAAACTTTGTTGACAAAGTTCTGGAAGATTTAGATGAGTGTGGTAAGTACTAGCTCCAACAGGATGTTATGTTTTCAACGCTATTTGTGTCTTTGTTAGCAGAATTATTAAAAAACTAATGAATGGATCATTGTAATATAGTGAAGCAGTACAAATAATTGATCTACAGTGGGAGTGATTCTATTTTGGGATGAAAGTGCATGACCAAAATAAGCAGAAAGTTAAAATATCATGTAATAAATTTGTCTGGGAGTATGAACTCTTATCAGGTGCTGGCTTTACTTATTTATATATTTTTGCCTCCTATAACCTATCCAATCATATCAGTTAAAGGAGTTTAATATTTTTAAAGCAATCATTAATCAACTGAAGCTATTTTTAAAAACATGGTCTACAATAAAGAATATCAACAATCTGATCTTTTGAATATGAAGAAAACTTCCAATGTGTTTTGTATTTCTAATACTGCATTTATACAAGAATTATAATGTTAACATTGAACATAAAAGGAAGGAACACATTTGAAAGAATATTTGTTATTCATTGCTATGAAATGGTGACTTAGTTGGTAGTCTCAGGAAAGATTGATATATATTTATTAATTAATGAAGTACCAGTTATTGATAACTCTTCATTTAAGTTTGATTATGATTATTGTCCATGAATTTAGAACTGCTTGATCTTTATAATAATATAAATGAGAATAATAATAATTATATAAGTATTATTTAAAGGTAATATACAATTAAAATGATGAAGATGATACTTTATAGTTATTTAATTATTATTGTTGTTGATAATGTAGCTCTTGCTCTGCAGTAGCAGTGGAATAATAAAATAAACATATATTATCCTTCTTATTTTTCAGCAATAATGGAGACTCAAAAAAGTGACATGCCTCATGTGTCATCCATTAAGACCTTTAAAGGATCATCTGAAAAATTGTCAAGTGATGAAATCAAGACACAGCTAGAGGAAACAAGTGAAAGTGAGTTTAAATATTTATGTAAGTTTATATAAGGTCATATTCGACTGACCGTGAGCATATGCATAAGTAAATCTTTTAAAATGCTCATTTTTTTTCAACATTTACAATAAATGGTAATGTACCTGAATTTTAGTTATATCCTTACTACTATTGTTATCAATATAGGATTATCAGTAAGAAATTTATACAAAAGTGTGTTAGCTAATTGTCTAGGGAAACCATTCCAAGACACAAATTTCTTAATATTGCTAGTTTCATTGTTAAGGCAATCACATGGGTTACATAATTGCTTTGCTCTAAAAAAGATATAACGCCTATAGAATATCGTAGCTCAATTTTGTATAATTTTAGTTAAACATAATCAGTGTCATCTGTTGAAAAATTAATTTAATGTATTTATCATTAAATTCCAATTTCAAACATTGCCCATCAAAAGGGGAAAGAGAAAAAGACAAGGATGTGAATAATTCGTCGCTCACATCACGAACTAACACAATTAAATTCAATTGTGTTAGTTCGTGAAATAAAAAAAGCGCTTCAAAATACGCGCTATTGTCGTTAAGGACTTTTTGTGTGGTAAAGAATACAAAATTGCTTGACAACCAATACGCGCTCGTTCTGACGCGCTACTGTGATTTCACGAACTAACACAATCTACTTTGATTGTGTTAGTTCGTGATGTGAGCGACGAATTATGTCAATAAATGGTAAACATTTTCTATTGGTTGCATACTAAAAAAAATGCTTTAAATCTAACTCTCCTAAATTTACTATTTTAAGATGAAGTACACGACTTTTATGTGATTAGTGACGATGCTGAATGGGAGCAAAAAATAATTACCGAGTTGAAGAAAAGGAGGCAAGGAATACGGTGTATTAGCAGAAGTGATTGGATTCCTGGAAAATCCAAACTTCTTAATTTGATAGAACCAGTTAAAATTTGCAAGAAGGTTGTTGTGGGATTTTCACCATCACCTGGTAGTACTAGTACACATTATCTGGCAGAAGTTCTTTTTCAAAAAATGTTGGTTGACAATAACTTTGGCAAACTTATCCCTGTCAAGATATCAAAAGATTCCATGATACCAGAAGGGCTAAATATGTTGACTTCAGCAAATGGATGGGAAGATAACATTTATGAGTTGTTGTTGTGTGCATTACATGAAGAAAGTAGGTATATTCACTTACACAGTAAATATTATTACAATAATTACTGAATTAATATCTTTTTCAAAGTATCATTATTTAATTAAAAAATTATTAATTAAAAATAGGTATTGCATTTATCACTACAAATGTTATTACCCATACCTAACCCAGAAAAAATAATTTCATTTTTATTTTAAGTGTTTGGAAAATTATTTACAGAATAAACGTTTACGCTTGTGGCACTTTTCTTTGGACATAATTCACTGAAAATTTTATAATACTGCTAATTTCAGAATCACAGGCAACGTACGTTCACCACACATGAGCAAGGTAAGAATGCAATGCGTTTAAATATTAATTGACTAAAACTTTGACAACAGAAGCATGCTGAAACATAGGAATGACAACAAATTTAAAATAAATTTTCCACTGCACAGTTAAGGCAGAGAAATGATAGTACGTTCAGTGGTAAAGCAGATGTTATGATAATAATTAAACAGCGCCAACTCTCTAGCCTGCTAATCCAAGAAAAAGTATTTATTTCTAATATATTGGTTTGTTGAAAAAGCCAGCCGAGCAAGCCTTTGGCTGGATCTAGATGCATTGAAGTACAGCATAAGAGGCTGTATTTTATGTATTTCTGAAACCCATAATTTGAGAAAATTCTTTTATTTGGATGTTATTAGGGACCTGAAAAGTAACGTTTTATGTCCATCTTATTGTTCATATGAATCAATCTGCATTGACCGGAGCTGATCAATTTTGATACCAAAGTTATTAAAATTCAATCAATGTTTTAAAAGAGCTGACAAATGAAATGCTGTGATGCATAACATTTCACAATTTAGAAATGATTTTAATGAAATAGCAGAATTTGAAAAATAATATTTAAACGAGGGACCTGGTTTGTCTGGCATATGGCCTTGCCTTTTTAAGGGGAGGTGCGGGGATAAAACAATAAATTTTTAATTTAAAATAGAGGGATAGGCGACCACAATAACAGCGCGGTATTTGAAAATGAGGCTTGTGAACTGGGTCCAAAAAATAAACTGGTAGGTACAGGATTTTGAGCTAGTGTCATCGTGTCAAACTTAGATATTTCAATGTAAATTTGGCTGTTCTTTTTATTTATATGGGTTTTCACTTATGAAAATTTCTCAATTATGTGTAAAATAACGATTTGCCCCAGTTTTAATTTCGGAAATTTGCACTAGACAGAGAGTCAGCTGATTCACTCAACCATAACGAGCTGGTAGCGACAGTGGAAAATTTAAAAATTAGGACTGGCGAAAATATTCAATAATAATAATATAATAAGTCGAAGGCATTTTTGAAGAATGAATACTGTATTTCAAAAAGATATGTTTGCTGGTTTGGATAAGGAAGTCTTGGAAGTGGTGATCTTAATAGTGGCATTAAATAGGTTTGTTTAATACCAACTTTCTTACCTGTGTAGGCATAGCCTAGCATTTAGAGCAGAAAATGGCTTAGAAAAATGTGCACAGAATTTAACTTCTGTATGATACATTGGCAATGGTTATATACAGTGTTCAGATTAGTTCAAAGACTAATTTTCAGCAAATTCTGCTCGGAAAGACAACCACCTGCCTTAGGCGTGGCCCTGCTGGTTTCATGCTGGATCAAAAACTAGTAGAGGGTCAAATGTCCAGCCATTTTGATGGTCAAAATACAGGGGCATTATTACTGTACATTAGAAAAGATTGAAAAACAAGATAGTCTATTATACAAATATTCTTATTGTCTTCATTTGTAATTTTTAAACTAATTTTTATTTTTATATTACAAAAAGTATTATATTAATGAAATAATAAATTCTTTTCAAAATAATTGTTTAGGTCGTGGCTATTTTACACCACTTAGCAATGCATTTAAATATGGGCTTTTCTCAGTGATGGTTATAATTAAAATATATATATTTTCAACAAAAATTATCATTGATGATTAGTGCCAGAATGATTAATTCCTTATAAAGATATTGTAATATAAATACTAATTATTTTTGAATGGTGTAAGAATAGTCACTCTGATTTTTTTTTAACTAGTCTGTTCAAACCTTTTAATCCAGGCATTAAAAAAATAAGCAGTTTCATAGAATATCTTTACACAAGACTGTACAAAGCCATGTATTAAAATAGTTGTTCCTGTATATATTGAGCCACATTTTCATACTGCTCTACTATCAACTTCGCACATTACATATTTCAAAATTAATCCTCACAATTTGTTCTCTAAACCTGGTTCACATATTTGCTTCAAAAGGATTACTATTGAATCGGATTACTCTGTAAGTACAGCACTTATAATACCATTTAATAATATTACAAGATATTTTGCAAGTAAAAAATAAAACAGGTACTGTAATACTGGTACAGTATTTATTTATAATAAATTTGGCATGCAATATAAACCAGATGCGTAAAAAAACCAAAAACTGAATGTGTGGCAATTCAGTATATCTTCAGAAATAAATAACTAGATAAATCATTTCAATTTAATTCTTTTGAAATATTTTTGGCCTCAATCACTTGCTGCGGAGCTTTGAACATCGCCACCTTCTGCTAACCATGGATTGGACATGTCCCTTTCATCATGTTCACACAGATGGGACTGTTTACATCAAATCCATTCGAGTCAGTCATTTGCTGCTATTGAGGAATAAATATACAGTAGTTACAATAATGCAAAACCAGGTTTGTTAATAATCAAAAATGTTATCAAACATTGGCATTTGCTGCTTTATCTATAACATACCATACTGAGATACTGTATGTACTAATCTGAAAAGACATTCATCAATTGACAGTATTTTCAGATTTTTTAATTACTTGATTGAAGCCTTCCTGTCTGCTAGTGTGTAATGTATTATTGTTGTAAAAAAACTAAAACTGACACACCATGCTGATATTTTTACCATTCCAATATACTTGTTTCATGTACTCTGGCTGAACAGTGATGAGATATTCAGCAAACAACCAGAGTGCTTCTTGCCAATGTCTTGCTGGGTGCTTGTATGCTTTGTACCACCTTGTTTCATAGATGCCAATGTTGGGTGGTTGTACTCATGGCAAATGTTGTGGTATTTTTGTCTCATCATGTTGACATATACCTATGTGGCCAGAGTGCCATGTTTCGGCCTATCACATATATATATATATATATACATATATATATATATGTAGGCCTAATTATAAACAAAGAAGTCAAGTCATCGGACTGATCCTACGTTTATTAATTCAAATTCAATTATTCCTCCATGATTGAATTGACGTTGACTAAACCGTCTCTCTGTAAATGCGTACATAAACGATCACAAAAGCTCATGACTTCACACTACTGTATGTATTCTCAGGCTAGTCGCTCGATCGTTGGGAAGATTTTTCTATCAGCTGCTCGCCAAAATTTACAGACTGGTCTTGAATATTAATGAGTTGATTACAAAATGCTACCAAGCTACTGAAAAAAAGTGATCAGCCTTGTTTTCACCTGATTTTCCTATCTCATCATATTATGTGTTGTTTCTATAATTATTGTTACAGCTCAACATTTTGAAATTTTTAAGTATTTTTCCCGAACTCAGGAAAGGTTAAGTAAGCAATATATGGCCACTTTTCTCATTCCCGCACTTCCCCTTTCAGGCCTAAAACCTTTTCGCCAGTAAGATATAGGGTCTACTCACAATACAAGTATATGACGAAGCTTTTACTTTTTAATCAGCTATATATTTTAAACTGAATTAGGAAAACAAATCTTTGACATTGTCGATTGATTGGTAATACATTGACTAATAACAGAATAGGCCTTTTTCAGGCTGCAGTAGACATCTTGAATCGATGACAAACAGTGCTGGGCAGCGAAGCGTAACCAATAGAAATAACATAACGTTTCGACCATATTTTCGGAGGTCATGTTATTTAAAAAATCATAAATCCTTAACGGAGGGTTGTGTCAACAAAAATTTTTCATTAAAATGTTCGCACAGGATATATCTACGTACTGTATGAATAAAAAAAAATTGAAAATTTGTTTAGTCTGATAATATAGAAAAATTATTTTACCACAAAGGTAGCATACGAAATTTGGTTTTAACAAACATTAAATCTTTATCAATGAATAAAATAATTTGAATGAAAATATTTCATTCATTGATAAAGATTTAATGTTTGCTAAAACCAATTTTCGTATGCTACCTTTGTGGTAAAATATTTTATCAACATAAACTGAAATCTAAACCATTTTTCTTATTATGTGCTGTATTTTATCAAATTCTAGATGTACGATAAAAAATATACTAATCACTCTTAAACATAATCAACAATAAACAAGCACAAATTATCCTCCTATAGTCCCCTATATAGTAGACTAAAAAAAATCAGGCTATTGGCGGATTATTACTTTGACTTTAGATTCTGTTATTAGACATATGGGAAAACATGATGTGATCTGTCCCTGTTGCTGTTATAGAACTAAACTCTGGGGCATTTTGGGCTTTTTCTTTCCTTCCCTTCCAAAAAATCTGGCCCTAAGTACAGTACTGTAAATCCTTGAATACCGTTTGGTGGCTACAGTGCAAAGCTTATTTTAAAGGTTAGACTGAGTACGCCTGAGCATAAACAAAAAGGTCCTAGTCTAATTATCCAAGTATGTAACCATGTCATAGGCCTGTCTAAGCTCATGGAGGATGTATTTTATTTATAGGTCATCCATACCAAGTAGTAGGTCTTTAAACATGTTTACTGTACAGTATATGGGATAATATGGATTGCACAAAGAAAACAAAAGTAAATCCTTATACATACAAATAACATATAAATTACCAAAAAACTAGTAATTGAATAATATAATTATTTAATAGTCAAGTAAGTAATCAGGCTTATATTACCAATTTAATAATTTATGTACAAATTTATTTACAATTGAGATAAAATATTGAGCAAAATCCAGAATTGATTTTAAAAAATATTTATAGTTAATCTTGGTGACTACAATTTACTTTATTTAAGAATCAAATTTAAAAATAAAAAAAAAAAGATGTATAGATATAAAGAAATTAAAAATAAACTTGATTAGTATTTATAAACGCTAAATTTTCTTTAAATCATTCCAGGGAACCATGTGAGGCCTACCATTTTGGAAAAAGATCATGATTTATTAAAAAGCGTTTCATTTGTTCAACTATATAACAATAGGCCTATACTATACATAAACACTGGTGAGAACATACCAGATGCAATCTAAAAAAAGAGTACACCATACTATTTTTTTTTCACAGATTGCTGCGGGCAAGGCATGGGACACACTAAAGGGAACCAAAGATGAACAAATTTTCTGTAAAATTCATTCAGCTATTATAGAGGAAGAAAAGTAACTTAAGACAATTCAAGAAGAAAGCAAAAAATTAATTTTAGAACTTGAAAAATTATACAAAGAAGAAATTGATACATTCACAACTGTCAGTGGCATGTACAAGGTTGATAAAGATGATGAAGCAATTACTGTCACAAAAGGACAACTATTTGTAGTAAACATATCAAGCTTAATTGAGAGCAATGCATGCAAATTATCTGCAACCCTAAGCAACCCATCACATGAAGAATCAGCCACTGAGGTAGAATATCAAGGAAATGGAAAGTACAAAATAACAGGTAGTTACAATGTGGAAGGTGACTGGCAAATGAAGATTATTGCAGGAGAGGCACACATCAAAGGATCTCCAGTGAATATCAAGGTGGAATCACTGGGACTTGTACATACCACTGGCAACATATCAGATTATAAAGAACATATGAAAGAAAATAAAGTGTTAGATGTAGTGTTAAACACAGATGGATGCATATTAGTATCTAGTGCTAGTAAAGATATATTAAAGTTCAATCAATCAGGTTCATTTGTTGCTAGGATACAGGTGCCACAACAGGTGCAGGTCCATAGCATGCATCTAATGTGTGATGGTCACATGGTGTACAGTGATTTCTTATGAAATTGTGTTAATATTTAAAGAAATCATGTCATTTGGTAAAGGAATATTAAAATATCCAAGGGGATTGACAGCAAACAAAAAATTCTCACTGTGTGTGTAAACTCAATGATGGTGATGGTAAACTGCTGGGTAAGATAGGTTCAAAGGGTAGTAAAGTAAAGTAGGTCAGATGAATAAACCAAATGATGTTACTTTAACCAAGGAAGGTCATACAATCATTGCTGACTTCACCAATAATAGAATACAAATGTTTGATGTAAATGATAAGTTTATGCGAATCCTTGTAGACTTTGGTGAGGAAGATGGTAAAGTTTGGGCTCCATGTGGTGTAACCATGGATATGGATGAAAATATAATACAGTAGTATCAAGTAATCATAAACTACAACTATTTTGATAAAAATGGTGTCTTCATAAAAAGAATAGATCATGTAGATAATGGATTAGACATCCCAGTAGGAATCGCTGTAATCTCAAATAAACCAAGAAGAGTAGCAGTAGCAAACCACAAATCAAACAATGTTAACATTTTTAACCTATTATAGTAGATAAGTACACTGTGCAATTTGATTCAAATTCTCATAAAAATAAAGTCACAGTAAATCATGTACTATGACTGTATACACATTGGCGGATCTGAGAGGGTCAGGGGGTCTAGACCCCCTTGGAAAAAAAAGAAAATTTTCAAGAACTTAGAAGTTTGAATACCTGGGCTATAGTGCAAAGTAAATTTGTCAACAAAACATAATATAATAATACAAATTAACAAATGTTTAATATGTCTGTTTATTATTGTTCAATAGTTGTAGTACTGATTAACTCTGAATAAATATCATTATTATTATTATTTTGATTTTCTTCACCTTTTGCTTTGTTAAGGGTCGTCACAACTGTCAACATCTTCACAATTGCACAAATCGTTATGTTCTCTGTTACCCTTCCCTCCCCTGTGATTACAAAAATATTGATATTGAAAAACAATTCTCCTTTTTTGTGAAATCAACAAAGTTTATGTGACTGCTTACCTGTACATACTTAAATGTATATTATATCCATGATTGCATTATAATTGATCATAAAATTCTATTATTTTAAATATTGCATATTATTTTGCATCAACATTTGCATGTATATGTAAAAGCGTACAAATTTGTTAACCCTCCCAAGCATACTGTCTGTGCATTTGTAAGAATTCTGATATTTGGGAATGACCCCTTGCAAACATACATACAGTATACAGTACTGTATTTTTATGTTTGTTAGTACGTTTAGGAGGGTGGCTGTATAAACCTTTATAGTTAACAAAATACAAGTAAAAATTACATGTAGTTTATTACAAAAGTTCAGTTTCTGGTGGATTTTTTGAGCTACACTTGTATGTAAATCTATTTCTTCTTTTCATTGGTGGCGTTCTGCACGGTTTAAAAAGTTGTTGTTGACTTGTGCTATGCACATTCCACTGCAGCAGTGGGTGTCACGTTGAGCGCTGGATGGGCCAAGAAGGTAATTCTACTCAGTCTGTTTATGATCTAGGCTTATAATTATGATGAGAATGTTTGTATTCCTAGGCCTATTAATTTATACCATGTTATACCTTAATTGCCGTACTTCTGTATTCTGTTACTACTTATATTTTAGTTTTCACAGAGTTTAACCGGAGAAAAAAATGAGCATTATTCTTTGGAGATTTGCTGTCGTCATGTATATTATAATTCCTGTTAATAAACCAATCTACTCCCGTCAAAACTTATTGGCTTGGTCTTAGTCTCTTTTTTCGTGTGTGTGTGTGTGTGTGTGCGTTGCCTGCCAATTGCTAGAAGAGTGCTGTAGTTACATAGTGTGAGTCAGTATGTGTGACACTATGTCTAAATACAAAATTCTGTCCTAAACTTTCCCATCTAATATTTCTTGAATAACATTTACTGCCCTCGTTACTTCATATTAGGCACATTACACATAATGCTCTGTTTTAAGCATTTACACAGCTGCTTCTTTGATCAAATGTTATTCTAGAATGTTCTATGTTAAAATAAGGAAAGGAATGGTAATTTATTACTACATACATACATACATACATACACACATACACATACACACACCTACACACACATACATACACACATACATACACACATTGCTACTACTCAGCATACGCTGCATAAAGCTGTAATAAACTGATTTTCGCATGTATTCATTAAAAGATGGGACACCTTGGTCGACAAACATTATGCTAGCACTGCTGTTTCTAGGAACATTCAAAATTCGACGCAATGCATTTTTGTAGCATACATTAAGAGATCTAATGTTTTTTTGACGGTAATCACACCATAAAGCAGCACAATACAAATTGATACAATATGATTGAATGAGACAGCATTTAACATCTTTAGAGCATTTCATAAATTTACGATTAAGAGAGTTGATTCTAATACACAGAGACCTATACTGTCTTTGAATATCAGCCTCATCACAACTATCGCATGTAAGAATGTGACCAAGATAAGAGCCTTTCTCAACATACACAAATGAAATATATATACATATATATATATATATATATATATATATATATATAATACATATATATACATACATACACTAATCAGATAATAAAATATAGATAAACGGCAAATCATCTTGCGTTAATGCTATGAAATCTGTGAGTCGGGAAAAAAGTTGGTTTAATTTTACCGTGTGCATGACATGATTGGTTAGTCCAGGGGTGGGAATAAAAATCGGTCGGAGGACCAAAGTGAATTTTTAATTTAACATCATCCTATCATTATTGTTACTAAAGGACTCATTTATTGTCATTCTCATCACTATTATTTTCCTTTCTTAAGTGGTTTGGCGAAGCGGGAACGGTTTGGTTTGCCAACCTCGAGGTTGAGGTTTTAATCCTCGCTGTGCATTTCATTTGTGTCCTTGAGCAAGGCCCTTTATCTGCATTGCTTCCACCCAAGAGTATAAATGGGTACCTGGTGGAGTTGCCTGTTCTGCGCCCTATGGCAGCAACACTTAAACATGTGAACCCAAAGACTTGGGAAAACAAAGCGCTTTGTAACCTAAATACCAAATAACAAGTAAAAGAAGTAGGCCTAGTCTGGCCCCTGTGGTCTCCCAGGTCTGTTCCTGCAGTGAACCATTAACATTTTCCAAAAGGAAGGGCAAACAATCATTTGTTAGGCTTATAAATATATACAGCAGCATATTTTCAAGTGTATAAGGGAGATAAGCTGTAGACAACACAAAAGGAGGTTAAATTCTACCAAATTTCTATTGTTAGCAACTCATGCATAGAATGGCAAACAAAACGGTTGGTGTGCACATACTGCTGACTTTGAATAGTGTGTAACTGTGTTTCATAATACAGTAAAACGATAAACTATGGGCAGTTCCATGTTGGTAGTTGTTAATATCTACTAGAGTAAATATTTTAATCTTTAAATTTTCAGAAGAGGACTTGTGAACTAGCTCTTTACTTTATTCAGAACACTTCAAGGTAAGGAATGTGTTGAAAGTTAACATTTATACAATTTAAATAAGGCAAAACTGTTATGTTCAATTCCATAATTAGGGCCACATTAATCTACAGGCGCTTGTTGTAGTGGATAATAAAGTTTAAAAAAAATTAAGCACTATATGGTAACTATCTATGCAACTCTCGTGTAGACATACGATAGAATTTGATGCAAACTTTACTGGATTTCTCATTAAATCGTATGGGAGAGATTAGTAGTGATCAACTGGACAATTGGAAATTAACATTCCCACATGGTTAGTTGACAGCTTTGATGCAAACGACTGACATAAGCAATCTGCCTTAAATTGAATTGCAACAAACAAGTCATTAAATCAGTGAAAAAATTTTTCTATAATCCAATCAGAAACTCCAAAATTATGAAATGACATAATACACACACCTCAATGATACTTGTTTAAGATACACCCCAATATCGGTGTACGGTAAGAATGGCTTACAAAATTAACTGTTGTGGACTCTCATTTAAAGTATTCCATTTGACCATACAACCGACTAGCATAATGTTACAATTCGCAGGACCCGATAGTTTTGAACAGCGCATAAATTTTGGAAAATTAAAGTACAGTAGAACCCCTCATTTACATACGGGACGGGCCAAGAGGTGTTCATAAAAATCATTCGTACGTAAAATCGGGGTTGTGTGAAATTCCTATGTATTTACACTACCGATATGCTAGGCTGGGCTGGGCTAGGCTAGGCCTAGAGTCTGGGCCTCAAATTAAATTTTGTTGGATTGAAGCCAAAACTCCAACTTGCACTCGAAAGAAATTCAAAATAACGATCATAATAATGTACAGTATTATACATACTTGTTAATGTGTATAGAAACTTTATTCTCTCTTTCTCCGGCAATATATATGCTCAAAATGGCCTGAAACATGCTCTAATTTAGTCAAAAAAGTTATTTTGAGTTATTAAAATTTTAATGCATACCATGACGCATGCTCAACTGTGACAAAAAGTTGACCCTAGAATGAAGTATACGTGTGTCAAGTTTTATTGAAAAATGCTTGCTTATGAGGAATTTATGATCAATCACAGAATTTCACAAAATGGCATGTTGATGACGTCATGTGACTGATGTTACCAACAAAAGCCGCATGCACAACTTCAGATGTACTGTATATCTATATTTTAGCAGAGTAACAAGAATACAGCCTGCAGCATTTCAGAGGAAAGCCGCAAACAAAAAATGGGGGAAAAGCATAAGAAGAGAGAAAGAAATTAATAAAATCTTAAGAAAGACAATAGGTGATACGGTTCAACTAATTAATTATCAAAACAAGGAAAACATTACTTAAACATCATCATAAAGTATAAACAAGCTAAATAAAATATTCAAATAAGATAGTATAATACATACTCCAAGTATCGAAATGCATGCCATCGTGTCGGGATTCAGTATTTCGACATTAATTATGTCATCATCACGAATATTCAAATTGTTTAGAATAAAGATCAAATGAACTGCATGAATTTGTCAACACTTGGTGCATTTGTTAAATCTCTCATTAAGATTATTCCATCAAATAGCACTAGGGTAGGTTAAACTTATTTTTTATATTTAGTTATTGGTTTTTCTGGAGCAGATTGATTTAGGAGTATCTTATTCACACCAGTATGGTTTGAGTATAGAACAAAACTTCAATGCTACATTTATTTTGTTATTTTAACTGGCAGTTCAAAAAACTGAATTACTACATGTTTACTTCTTGCAAGTTTGTATACAAAATATACAAAGAATTAAAAAAAGCAAAGAAATATTCAAAATAAAAATAATAAAAATTCAGGATATTAAAATTTTTGTATCATACTACAAAACCATCAGCAATGAGCTTGCATTTTTAAATTTTTTCTGTCCTTTATTTTATGATTAGTCTTCTTGTTATTTCAGGATTGAAAGAAAGAAAAAGATTGAAGCAGTAGCTGTATAGATGACTATGAGTATGGAAACTGGTGAAAGTAACTAAAGATTTCAGTATTTTTTCACCTTCCTTCTACTTTTGTGATCAAGAATTTCAATAGAATGTTAATTGTTTTGAAATATTTGTCATTTCAAAATATTAGATATTTCCTTTTGTTTACATTGTAGAAGCAAATGCAGCATATTTTGCAGATCTGAAGTTGGTTGTGTCAAAATGGTATGATGATCACATACCCATCAATATGCTGAAAGTTTTGTTCAGGGACTATGTATTAGATACAATTGCATTACATACGTCTTCTAAGACGATGGACTTAATTAATATGCTGGTGGGTTCTGGAGAGCTTGGTCCAACTGATCTCACACTCCTCTATGATACTATTAAGGCAACAAGACAATTTGGTCTGGTACAAGAAATTAAAAAGCAGATTTCCTCATTCCAAATTTTGGAAAATATTAGAGATGACGCAATTACAAAATTCACAGTGCATCGGCAAAGACTTATAAAACTGGGAATGGTGCTGACTCCAGGTGATGTAGAAACCATTAGTGGACTGTATGAGGAGAAACATACAGATAGCTGGAGTTTGATTATGAATCTAGAACATAAACGAATCATTTGTGAACAAAACATGGATGTATTTATTAGAAAGCTAAAGCAATATGAACTTTATCAAGCTGTAGGAGCTCTAACAGAAGGTATCTTTTTTATATCAATATAAAACAGGATATTTTACAATCCGTAAATGCTCGAGTAAGAGGTGCTCTCAAATAAAAGAAAAATTAATAATATAAACGTATATATTTCACGATGATGTAGGATCTATGATTCAGTAGGCCTCCTGAACTATGGGAACATGTGAGATAGGTAACATCGGAACGGGCATGGAAACTGCCACGCCAATATATTTTTAAGAGCGCTGCTCTCAAATAAGCATCGCACTCGAAGTCACCAAACATTTTATAAGCGCTGCATCACTTACTTGAGTATTTACGGTAGTTCATTTTTCTAGACTGTATGTAGGCCTATACATTGGTATAATTTGTTTTAATGACAAAACTAATTTACATAGCCACAATTATAGTTTTTGTGATAAGTGGATGATGGCCTATGTCAAGAGGTTTTACACAGAAGATAATAACATTTGTGTTTTTGAATGATAACAACTTCTTTTGTGATCTATGGATGGCAGTTCATGTCGGATGTGTAACCGGCAATTTATATAATTACCGAATACTTTAAATCTGATTCTATTTGTGTTAAATGTGTATTAGGGTGATTTATCACAAGAGAGCATCATAAATAAATTTTACGACTTATAATAAAAATAATAATAATAATGATAATTTATTATTATTATTATTTAAAATATGCGAGTTCCATGCATCTCCTTGAAGTTAAAATTTGCTTAACTACTGTGAGCTCCAACCATGATGGGGCAGTGGTAAGGTTATGGACTCTCAAGACATCAGCATTTGTTTGGATCACCTAAAAATGAGGGATCATAAAATGTGTCGGTCACCACCTAAAAAGTTTGAGAAGCAGGGATTTACCCTCATAAATCAAAGCACTAATTGTCAAGCATTTTTATTATCATTGTAATATTAACATTTATTAATAATCATCAAACCAATCATTTGAACTTAATTACTTTTTTCTTCTTCTCTGTTGTGGTTAAGCGCCTCAAGGTTGTGTCAACGTGAGGCGCTATATAAATCCAGAATTATTATTATTACTATTATCATAATATTCCTGTACAATACATTAGCCTATAATATTTGACAGACAGTGGCAGAGTCAGCAATTCAAAATACTGTAGAGGGGGCCCAGGAAGAGCATGAATTTGAAAACTGGCAACAGAATAGCAATACCATTGTTAATTACCATACAGATTAAAATTTCCAATCCACTTTGTGTTCTTAACACTCTGTGTTCTTAACAGTTATTTATGTAGTAATTATGATATTTATATTAATTTTTATAGTTTGCATTTCTTATTCTGAACATTTCTTTGCCTGATTTATGATTATACAAAATTAATAGCCTTTATTAAAATTTATTCACAATACGCAACAACCTCATCCAACATAATTTCCAAACGCTCATTTTCCTCCATATTTTTTTTAAACTGCTATTGACGAATTGCATTAATTCCTTGCATTATTTATTTACTTATTTATGTATTTCTATTTATTTATGTTTATTCTTTAAAAATGACAGACAACTAAGTTCAATGCTCTGTATTATATGTTAACTTGATACTTGAGCATTTAATTTTATTAGTACAAATGTGATTATTTAACCAAGGAATCAGAATTTCATTTATATACTGATTGTTTGGAAAATAAATATATAGGCTTGTGACATTTTGCTTTGAACTCGGACACCACTATAATTTTGTATATACTTTGCTAATTTCAGAATCACAGGGAGCAACAGGTATGGTACATCATGGTTTCCACCACTCAGCAAAAATCAGTAAGGTAAAAATGTTATTTTAATATTAAGGGCACTTGGATACAAATCAAATTGATTAAAATACTGACAACAGAGACATACTGAGAAACATGCTGGTCGGTGTTGGTGCAACTGTTATTAATATTGTAAAAGTTCCAATTTTCTTTGTTTGGCCTTTTTGACAGGTTTCATGTCTCCTGGGGGTTTCCATGTCATCCCATGGGGGTGAGTCGGAAGATGCATTGGGAGGGGGATGTCCTCCTCCTCAATTAGAATTTTTTTGAAAATAATAACCGGTAGACGCTCATACAGGGCCTCTTCAACAGTAATATTTCTATAAATAGAATGAAAAACTACACAGAGCTGTATGGAACTACATACAGACTGCATTGTGCGAGAGGCCAAAAGATGGCACGTTATGATTCCTTTCCTTTGCCGTTTTGCTGCGATCGTTCTTCCAATTTGATTGATTAAATCACTACAATTTGTGGGGCAATATATAGGCCTAGTTGGCAAAACAGAATGCAAAAATTGTTAAGGTTAATAATCCAACCTTAACAGGGAAAATTTTATTTTCGGCTTGCTCTCGCGGACCACATAACACACACTCGTGGGCCAGAGATGTCCTGTGGGTCACCAGTTGAGAACCCCTGCTCCAGTTAATTGCTTCAGATATTGAAGACATTGCACACATCGGGTAAACTTTAATACTAACTTTAAACATGTTTACAAATTGAGAAAAACTATAGTCAATCAAGATTTTATCGGTGATGAAAACATTTCAGAATAAAAATCAAATTGATAAATACCTTTATTTAGTGGGAATTATTAACAGTGGTAACACCAGGATTTGCCAGACGTGGTCTACGTTCCCCAAAAAACTTGACAATTTAGAGGTTTCAATGGCTTATTTAATTAATGACTTAGGAGTGTACTAATACGTAGAAAATACATACATATTTTTTTTTCCCCAATCAGGCTGGCCCTCTGGCTCCATCCCCCACTGGCGCCACCCCTGATTATTAAAATAAATTATCAGGTGAGTTTTTTGCAGTAGTGGGCAAGATAAACAAATAAATAATATTATGGGATTATCTAAAACTACATATAATAGCGTACACCATTCTATTTTTTATAGATGCCTGCAGGCAAGGTATTGCACACATTACAAGGAGGCAAAGATGAACACATTTTCTGTCCAATTCACTGTAACAATGTACTGGAGTTCTTCTGCTCAACTTGCAAGAAATCAGCATGCAAACACTGTGAACATGGTTTTTATTGTTTACGAAATAAACATGATGTGATTGAATTGAAGACTGTTGTATATGATGTTACTATTAAACCTAAGGAAATTCAAAAGAAATTGGAGGAAAAACTTGTTTCTATTGCTAAAGACAGATCTCACTTGGAATCTCATCGAAAATTATGCAGAGCAGCTATTGAAGAGAAGGAAATGAACCTTATCATTAAGATCCAAAAGAAAAGTCAACAATTACTTTCAGACCTTGAAAAAATATACAAAGAAATGCAAGAAGACATTGATAGTCAAGTTAAAGATATTAATGAAAAGCTGACTCGAGTTAATAATGTAACAACCTCAATCAGTACACGAATGAGTAAACCACAAGAAATAGAAACTATTGTATCCTATATGACAACTATCAATACTTTCAGTGACTTAAATGAATCATTTGATGAATCAAATATTACACCAAAGTTTATTGACTCTACCCAGTTGGATGATTTAATGAATACAGATGGCATTGGTAAAATCACAACTGTCCATGGCATGTACAAGGTTGATAAAGATGATGAAGTGATTACTGTCACTAAAGGACAACCACTTGTAGTGGCTGTATCAAGTCTAGCTGAGAGTGATCGATGTAAATTAGCTGGCACTTTAATAAAGAACTCATCAGGTGAAGAATCACCAACTGAGGTAGAATATCAAGGAAATGGAAAGTATAAAATAACAGGTAAATGCAATGTGGAAGGTGACTGGCAAATGAAGATTACTGCAGGAGAGGCACACATCAAAGGATCACCTGTAAATATTACTGTGGAAAAATTGGGACTTGTTCATACCATTTTTAACATACCAGATTATAAAGAGCATAGACAGGGAGCTAAAGTATCAGATGTTGTGTTAGATACAGATGAATGCATATTAGTATCAAGCTTCAGTAAAGATATATTAAAGTTCAATCAATCAGGTTCATTTGTTGGTAGGATAAAGGTGCAACAAAATGTGCAGGTCAATAGAATGCATTTAATGAGTGATGGTAACATGGTGTATAGTGATTTCCTACAAAAATGTGTTGTAATGTGTGATGATAATTTTAAAGAAATCCGCTCATTTGGTAAAGGAATATTGAAAGAACCAAAGGGCTTGGCAGTAAACAAAAAAAGAGTCCTGTATGTAGCGGACCAAGATGCTTACTGTGTGTTTAAATTTAACGTTGATGATGGTAGACTGCTGGATAAGATAGCTGGTTCAAAAGTTAGTAAAGTAGGTCAAATGTATCAACCACAAGATGTCACTTTAACTAGGGAAGATCATGTAATTGTTGCTGATATCAATGGCGGAATACAAATGTTTGATGCAAATGATAAGTTGATGAAAGTCGTTATAGGCCAAGGAAAGGAAGATGGTAAAGTAAGGGGTCCTTGTGGTGTAATCATGGATATGGATGAGAATATAATTGCATCAAGTAATCATAAACTACAATTATTTGATAAAAATGGTGTCTTTGTAGAACGAATAGATCATGAAGATGATGTATTTGTCCCATTAGGAATCACTGTAATCTCCAATAGACCTAGAAGAGTAGCAGTAGCAAACCATGGAGAAAACACTGTTAAAATCTTTAACTATTAAATTACTATAGAATTGATTTCAATTTTCATCAAAATGCTGTCAAAGTAAACATTTTGGTAACAAAATTAGTACACAAATAGACATACTATAAAATAATAAAATACATATCATCAAAGAGAATGTCAGTTAAGTCATTGAAGGCTTTAAGATTGACCCAACCCTTAATTTAAATACTAAAATATAGATGAATATATAAATTACCTCTTCTAATAATTACAACACAAAAAGAAAGGAAAAACAGTAAATTACTACCTTAAAATCAATTATATTAATTCACTTATGTTTTAGTATACAAGGTCCTAGCGGCTATAATATCACATTGTCGCAAATATTTTTTGTATATTTCAATTTTAACATGAAAATTTATGGTGTGGTTTGCACATCTTTAGTTGCATTGTATAGAATTGTCTGATTTATATAACATTTAGGCAGAATTTAATCAACTGGGTTTTGTGGTAACCATGTAAGACATTTAAATAATTATTAAATGATTTAGAAAGAATTGTACATGTTCTACATTACAATTTGTGGCAATCTAATGCTAAATATATTTAAGGTATTGAATTTATAAAAATTACAATGTGATATAAATGTAGACTTGGAGGAAATTCTATGTGTCTTTTTCTTTTTAAATAATATGAAATAATTTTGTTTTTTCTGTTCTAACCAATGGACAAAATTGTTAGTGTTTATTTATTACAGTACCCTAAACTAAATTACCATATATTAAATGGGAAAAAATAATATTTGAGTGAATTTGCTGAAGATTTATAGATATAAATGGAGGAAACATTTGCTTTTCCTTGCAGCTCCAAAGCACACAATTAATCAAATGTGGATTGCAGTTTAGAACCAGTGGCAAAACGAATCCGAATATACCAGCATAAAAGTACCCACAATACCCACCAAAATTATACTTACATTACATAACAACATATTACAATGAGGATATTTCATTGTCAGTGTTTATTATACATATTTAACATATTGACAACGTGCTGTTGTAGTTTCTTCACTAATTTCATTCACTTGATTCTAACATTGGTTAGTTGTACAGTAGTCCCTCTATTAACATGAACATGTTCACCAGGGTTTTCTCAGAAATATAACTCTGCTCCTATTGTACTTACCATACATGTTTTGTTCATTTAACTTGTTCACCCGGCGTTTGTTAAGTTTATTGCATCTTCTTCATCTGCATCCTCTTCTCTTGATCCCATTCAAACTATACACTTTTAAAATCATGTAACGAGGTGTTCTTACTATTCTTACTTCACTTATCAATTGATCTTTGTCTACTGTTGTTGATCCCCACCCAGTTTAAATCGGCAGTTGTTACTCTGATCTCAAAAAATGCATCACTTGACCATTAAAAAAACTCCCAAATTTCAAACCTATCTCTAACTTACCTTTTCAAGCCAAATGCATTGAGAGGGTGGTGTATTACCTGTTAATAGCGATATTTTGCAACTTTACGAAAACTATAATGAATGACCCATCTTCATTATCGTCAATTGCACCTCAAACATAATTAACAATACATATACAAACTGTATATGATCATTGATTCATTTAAAAGTTATGGATCCCCTAATTTGCGACAGATATGACACTGTATGTGATGGATTGACTGACAAATTGATTGACTGAAAAATGATTTGTTATCATTTTCGTAAACTTGCGAAATCTCCCTATTGTCCTACCTTGTAAACTGTAATCTCTTGGACCACCTTCAACCTGCCTATAAAGTGAACCATTGCACTGAGGCTGCCTTCGTCAGAATACTCAAAGACATCACAGTTGCCAAGGATCAAAAGTAAGCAGTTGCTTTTGTGATGCTTAACTTCGGCTGCTTTTGACACTGCTAATCTCCAAATACTTATTCATCATCTTCATTTTTGCTTTGGCTTTTTCAATCTAATTGCTTTAAACTGGCTCATTTCATACCTCAATAACTGCTCTCAATTCATTGAAATTAATAGTGTAAGGTCCACTCCTAAAGTCACTGAATTTGGTGTTCCCCAAGTGTCCATTTTTGGTCCCATTCTTTTTTCTCTTTTCATTGCCCTATTGTCCCAAATTATTAAAAACATAACATCTCCTATCATTGCTATGCTGACGATATTAAAATTTACATTCCATTTCAATTCATTCATTACTTCGCTGTTCAATGTCTTGGAAATTGTCTTAAAGATATCTAATCTTGACTCTAAAACAACCTTCAAAAACTTAACGAAAACAAATCCGAGTTCATTATTTTCTGCACTAATCACATCCGTAGTAAAATAACCCCTCTTTTTCTCCCAATTGTTTCGTCATTAATTCATCCCTCTCACCACATTTCTAACCTCAGAGTCAAACTGGATGAATCTCTTAACATGCACAACCATATCAGCTACTGTATATAAATAAATCAGTCATGTTGCACTCTCTCCATTCCCCGCACAACCTTTGAAACTATTGGCCATAAATCTTTTTCCTTTGCCGCACCTACACTTTGGAATTCACTCCCTGCACACATTAAAAGCTGTTCTTATGTTGCTTCATTAACGTAGACAAAACTCACCTTTTCCATCATTAATGTGCACTGTGCTTTTGATAATTCACCTTGGTCATTTAATTGATGCTTTATAAATTCTCATATTATTATTATTATTATTAAATATACAAGCGGAAGTTTTAACCCCCTGATCTTAAGGTTGTCATAGCCGTTTTAACTATCTTTATTAATTCTTAATTAGAAATTTATTTTAGGCGTAATCAATGACAGCAAAATATTTTCAACCAATAAACCACATAAGGAAATAATAAAATATAGACAGCAAAGCACCAAAATAGTTTCTTTCTACCACTTTTCTATTGTCTGCAACTCATGCATAGAATGGAGAACAAAAGAGATGGAAAGCATAAAGGTGGGTTAATATTACATCCTTAGTATAATGCTAAGTGTAGTTTTACCTACATTACACTATCTATTCTAATCGTTGGCAATACATTTCCTGAAGAGAACTTAGGAATTAGTTTTACCGGTTTACTTCTATTATTATTATATTCAGAATAATTCACGGTAAGTGTTGAACTTCAAAGGGTAACTGTTATATCGAATTCCAAAAGGCAATTACTTATTTATTTATTAAAACTTTCTTTATTCTGGATGGCACACTCAATGCGAAGGCACTGGTTTTCGTTGTGGTCCAGTTACAGTAAAAACATAAAAATACAAAAGAGGAAAAAAAAGCAAAAGGACTTAATTACAAAAATACAGGAGAGAACAATTAATTAAGAACTTTTCTAAAGTTATAAAGTTAAAGTATTTCTGAAGTTATTTCTAAAGTTATTACTCAATATTAGCCCCTTCCCTCTCCCCCTCCATCTACTGGAGATAGTTGTAGTGGATAGTAAAGCTTTCAAAAGGAAACAGAAACCAGACAACCAAAAGGGGTATACGTTCTGAGAGATAAAGTGTACACTACTTTTGATATTTATACTTTCTGTAATATTAAGCCAATCATTATGAAGTATTTTGGTAATACAATGTCTGTAATTTCGAGAGTTAGTAGACCTACATCAGAATTACTATCAATAGTAAAATTTCAGCATTGGAATTAATGATGTAGTTTATCTTTCCATCTAGGAGTATTGGAGTACCAACCAATCATACATTTTTAAGTCAATCCCATTCTAATCTTTGAAATTTTAAGGGATCAGTTAATGTCCACATTTTAGGCTATGTTCACACACACGGTGAAAGACTGGCTTAAGCCTGGCGTAGCGTACGCCTTTGTGTGTGAACTAGGCAGTGGCGTTGTTAAGGCCACTCACTACGCCACGTCCTTGGCGTTATTAACGCTACCTGCAGACCCCAGATTAGCTAACGCCACTGAGCTAACGCCAATGATGCTTGAATGATTTGACCACATTTTAAGAGATTGACCAATCACGATTGCAGTATATTAGCTACTTTGGTCTCTTTCCTGTGCTCTCTATGAATGAAATGGTAAAGAGGTTCTTTTTCTATTGCATTTTACTTAGTTATAATGTATATAATTTGTTGATTGTGTTTTGTAAGATATTTTAACCTATTTAGACTGTCTATTAAAACCTGCAACACCAACAACTGTTCAATGCTAGCTGAAAAATCAGAAGTAAAATTGTTCATTTAAAATACAATAATCATATAAGTTCACTTTGAACAATTTACAGATTTAAAAGTTTTCATGATACACTGTTACTTTTACTACAGTTAAGAACCCGTACATTATTTAAAACTGAAAACTATTCCCCCATAGGCCTATTATTAGTTTAACGAACGCCGTTTGTGTGAACACTTTGGAATTTTAATCCGTGGATTAAATCTTGAATAAAACCTACACACAATTTTATTACTTAAAAAGATTTATAATTTACATACAATAATACAATTATAGGCAAAATTATGTCTTCCACATTCAACAGGTAACAAACTGTAAACATAAGATTAGTACTGTAAAAATACAATAAAGTAATACAACATTCCTGATGATGACATAATTAATGTCGAAATATTGAATCCCGACACGATGGCGTGCATTTCGATACTTGGAGTATGTATTATACTATCTTATCTGAGGTTAATAGTTGACCTTTCGATAATACAACAAACTCTCAATAGAGTTTCAACCAACAAAATAGAGTAAAATACAAAAGATACAGTAGAGTAATTCATTAGGATTCTATTATATTTACAGATGGCAGCAGCTGACAGGTCATTGCCCACATTAGAAGAAAACAAAGAAGGAACAATTTATACCTGTCCAACTCATTGCAGAAAGGCACTGGAATTTTACTGCTCAACTTGCAAGATATCAGCATGTAAACAGTGTGAACATATATTTCACTGTTTTCAAAATAAACATGAGGTGATTAAAATGAAGATTGCTGTAGATGAGTTTAATCAAAATGCTACTGAACTTATTCAGATAGCTGCCGACATCAAATATAAATTGCAAGAAAATTTTGATTACATAATTAGAGATAGATCCCACTTTGAAAAATATCTGAAAACATGCAGAGCAGCTATAAAACATCAAGAAGAGACGCTAGTAAAGAAAATTCAGGAGAAAAGCAAAACATTGATGTTAGATCTTGAAAAGATATACAATGCAAAGATAGAAGATCACAATAGTAAAATAAAAGATCTTGATTTAAAGCAAAGTCAAGTACAAAATCTGAAGTCAGCAATTAATGCAATAATGAACAAACCAGAACAAACAGAAACTCTTCAATCCCATAAGACAACTATCAATACCATTAGAGAAATGGTTCTAAAAAGTGAATTTGATAAATCATTTCATAACATGAATATTATACCTAATTTTATTGCATTTACAAACTTAGAAGTGTTGATGAACAGCGAGGGCATTGGTAAAATCATAACTGTTGATGGCAATTACAAGGTTGCTAAAGATGATGAAGTAATTACTGTCACAAAAGGGCAACAATTTGTAGTGAAAGTATCAAGTGTGGATAAGACTGATGCATCTCAATTAGCTGCAATTTTAAAGAACTCATCAGGTAACAAAATACACACAGAGGTTGAATATGGAGAAAATGCAGATTACAAAATAATGGGAAAATGCAATGTGGAAGGTGATTGGCAAATGGAGATCATTGTTGGAAAGACACACATCGAAGGATCGCCTGTGAATATCACAGTAGAATCACTGGGACTTGTCCATACTATTGGTAATATATCAGAATATAAAGAACATAATAAACCATTTAATGTGTCAGATGTAGTGTTATATACAGATGGATGCATATTAGTATCAAGCCTCAGTATAGATATATTAAAGTTCAACCAATCAGGTTCATTTGTTGCTAGGATACAGGTGCCCCAACAGGAGGTGATTTCAATGTATTTAATGGATGATGGTCAGATGTTGTACAGTGATCACTTAGGAAAATGTGTTGTAATGTGTGATGACAAATTTCAAGAAATCCACTCATTTGGAAAAGGAATGTTGAAAGATCCAATAGGCCTGACAGTAAACAAGGAAACTAGAGTTCTGTATGTAGCAGATTGCGAAGCTCACTGTGTGTTTAAATTCAATGTTGATGATGGTAGACTGCTGGGTAAGATAGGTTCAAAAGGTAGTAAAGTAGGTAAAATGAATGTACCACATGATGTCACTTTAACTAAGGAAGGTTATGTTATTGTTGCTGACTTTGGAAACAACAGAATACAAATGTTTGATGTAAATGATAAGTTGATGAGAATTCTTGTAGGCAAAGGTAAAGAAGATGGTAAAGTTTGGGGTCCTTGTGGAATAACTACAGATATGAATGAAAATATAATAGTATCAAGTAATCATAAACTACAATTATTTAATAAAAATGGTGTCTTCATAAAACGAATAGATTATGAAGATGATGGATTAGATATCCCAGCAGGAATCACTGTAATCTCCGATAGACCAAGAAGAGTAGCAGTAGCAAACAGCAAACCAAACAATATTAAAATATTCAACTATTGAATATTTAACTATTGAATTTTAATTTTCATGAAAATAATGTCATAGTATATTTTGTTGCTTGCTAATAAGGAAACTGAAATGAAAAAGATGCTTGAGCTAGCTACTATCTTTGCAAAAGAGAGGAAACTTAATTTTAATTTTGACAAATCAAATATATTAGTAATTGGTAAACGTATAAACAGGGATAAACACTGGAAACTAGGAGATAGCTACATAATGGAGGCCGAATCATATAAATATCTTGGGGTAATTATTTCCAGAAATTTAAACGATCATAAGCAATTTGAAAATGTTTTAAAGAAAGGCAATAGTATAGTTGCAGTGGCGGCTCTAGGATATATTTTTTGGGGGGCTAAGTTGTCCAACAGGGGGGACTTGAGCTTGTAGGCTCGAGCTGGAAGGGGTTGAGAGGGAGTACCCCTCCCAAATGAGATTTTTTTAAAGAATATCAAACTCTGGATGGCCGAAAATGGCACTCTCAGACTGTGACAGACATGTGTTGGCTTGGTGTGGGCCTATTTTTATATGTTTTATGGTCTGACTGCCCGACGAGCTGTCAGGCGAGGGGGCTTGACTTGTCCGGTGGGGGGGGGGCTTAAGCCCACTGCCACACCGCTGGCGCCGCCACTGGTTAGTTGCCTACATTAAATCTCTTATAGATAATTTTGATAATTTTAATAGGGTTTATTACGAGGGTTGTATTATGGAGGACAATTGCCCTCCTTTCTTAACTATGGATCTGATGTTTGGTGTAGCATATATAAATCAGATATTGATAGATTAGAAAAACTTCAATTGCAAATGGCACGATATATCTAGCCCCTATGAATACATTATATGGGGAACTTGGATGGATACAGATAAAAACTATGCATGATACTTCAAGAGTTAAATTTTTTAATTGTTTAATTAGGATGGAACCGTATCGTTGGCCAAAAATACTCCTAAATGCAACAAATCAGTTTCAATGTGATCCAAATAATTTCCGTTTCAAATTTGTAAAATGTATTACAGTACTGATCTCTTTATTAAATGTGAATGTGAAGACCTTCTAGAACAATTATCTAATAATCAGGGCAACTACAATTACTGGGTTAACCATTATTAAAAAAAAGTAAATGAAATAAACAATGAAAACTGGAGAGAGGATAATGAAAGTAAGGCCTCCCTCACCGACTATTCATTACTTAAAGATACAATTAAATTAGAAAATTATCTATTAGATAAATTGGATTCGAAGGTGTATCATTGAAATTTAAACTTCGCTCCAAATACATTGCCCCTTGATAGTAGAGTTTCCAGATGGTCTGAAGACAAGAATGGCTTATGTACTCTTTGCAATACAAATAATGAAGAAGACATAAGACACTTCTTATTCTCTTGTCCTGCTCTCCTAAACATATGTTTAGAGAAGTTAAATAAACTTGAATATAAATGAAGTAGTCATAACATCGATGTTTGGGATCAATTTTTAAGTGCTAATATTGATATTAAATTAAGCTACGTGCTAGGCTCCATTACTCTTTCTATGACAAATGAAGTAGAGAAATACTTTGATGTATTTTGTAAAAGTTATGGAAAACGAGCGTGGAGAAAAAGATCTGAATTGGAGCACTTGCAAACTTTATCGTAGATTAAATATCTGTATTACTGTCTTTTCCTTTTTTTTTGTAACTAATTAATTTTGTTTGCCTTACATTATTGTTGAGTTTGTTGGTGGTACAGGTGGCCCTTCGAAATTTGTGACAGGCAAGGCAAGTTGTATTTCCTTCTATTTCTTTGTCATGTTTTTCGGGGAGCTACATGCCTCATCAGCAGCACTACTCACTTGTGTTTATTTCATTTTTACTTAAGATTCCCATGTTTTGTTTCGTAATTCTTTTTTCTTTTTTTTTTTTTGTACTTGTAGCTAAGAATTTTAATTCACTTTGAACGCACCAAATGGTTTTGAGTGCCACCGATCTAAAGGTGTATGTTCTAACATAGTCAATAGTCAATCCTGAAATTCCATGATAATGTTTTTACAACAAAACATGTTGGAACAATTTCATTTTTTTTTTTTTTTTGTACTTGTAGCTAAGAATTTTAATTCACTTTGAACGCACCAAATTATTTTGAGTGCCACCGATCTAAAGGTGTATGTTCTAACATAGTCAATAGTCAATCTTGAAATTCCATGATAATGTTTTTACAACAAAACATGTTGCAACAATTTCATCTGGTTGTTAAAAACAGTGGATTATGAAATTATTTTCAATCAACCAATGTTGTTTAAACTATTTAATCAACCAATGGTGTTTAAACTATTATTTAGCATTATATAAACATATTTTATACAGTACATGTAACAGTGGAATTATGACCTGTTATGATGTAGGGCATTTTAAAGACTAAAATGATAGTTTGTGGGTTCACTGATGTTTTGAAAATACAAGGCACAAGATGAACAGACACAGATTATTAAAACAACAAAATAAATTTCATTTGATTTCGAATACAGTAACAAAAGTCTTAAAATTAAAACCATATGTTACAGCATTGGGTGGGGGTCGATATTGATTTTCTTGTACGAGTTCAATATTCACACAAAACAAAACTGAAAGACGTCATGTGCACAACTTTATGGCCAGCATTAACTGATCATCAATTCAGCTAAAACATGCACAGTTTTTGATTTTTTATTGTTTATAACAATTATGAATTCAGACTGAATAATCTAAACAATTCTGCTTGTATACAGAATTTTTAGATATTCCATGCTGCTTGGTTCAGTATACTGGTAGATTTAAGAATACCTTGTTTTAACAATGTAAATATAATGTTTGCTTTGTTTATTTAAGAAAGTATAATACATACTCAAAGTATTGAAATACACGCCATCGTGTTAGGATTCAATATTTCAACATTAATTATGTCATCATCATCAGGAATTCCTGAAATATTGAATCCTAACACGATGGTGTGTATTTCAATACTTGGAGTATGTATTATACTTTCTTATCTGAGAATAATCAGTGGACCTTTCGGTTTTTGTTTATTTAATTCTTAATATTTCAACAATCTTCCTAGAGTAACCCATTCACTGAGGCTGATATTCAACTTGGTATGAGGTTCCCAATTGACCTTTACTGAGTGTCAATCAAACTTAACAACTGACCAATGAGAAGAGAATCAGGAATACGTGTGTGTCCTACAAACACGTCATGTGTTGTCCCACAAACACATGTGAGTGTGTATGATGGTACCATAAAAATAAGACACACAAGTTCCTCAGCCAACGCATTTGATTACGCAGTGTGCATTTTACTTCCTACATCATCATAAGATTTGTATCTAAATATGGTGTTATGTAGCTATTTTCAAATAATAACTTTAGATTTGTATAGTAAATTGTTTTTATTTAGGCTAAGAGAATAATATATGCTACAGGAATTGACTAATTAATGAATATCAATTACCTACATTTGACACAATCGCTGGTGGATATATTCAGACTACAGTATTAAATAAGTCTCTACACTTCATTGATGATAACAGAACAAAGATTCAATGTATGAGTGACTAATGAATAGATGGATGGATTAGTGCATGATTTATTAAACTATTTCACTGTATGTTTTCTGGATTCTAGATAACAACAAAATTTCATGTCATTACTATCTGTATTTGTATATCTGTATACTTCTGAAATATAGTTTAGTTTATTTGCTCTAGAATTTCAGATACATAAAATAAATAGAAAACAACTGGTTCACAAGCTTCTTAATTGTTTTACTACTCACCATGCACATCATGCAGAACTTTTTGTCAATATCAGCAGTACAAATACATGTATCTTAAGAGTGCCATCAAAGGTTCCTTAGGTATCTTGGCTGGTCAGATGATACCCACCTTAAAGACAGTGACTGCACTTGGCTGAGAGTCTGAAATAAAAATAATTAAATGAAATAGAAATGTTAATAAGACTTTCAAAATTTGGATTTTTTTATCGCAAATAATCCACCAAAAGAATCTGAAGATTTGTATGAGTCTTTATAGTAAATTTAGCAGTGCACCTAGAGATAGGCATTTAAAAAAAAAATTGTTCTGCATTCCTCAACATGCACATGGGGCCATACAAAAGAATATAAACAAAGTGTGCTTGGTGGCCACAAAGATGGGCCGGAAGGCCAAATTGAACGTTTGACTTAACACAAAGGAACAGGACAGGTAAATTTGGACGTTTTATGGCTTTTAGTTTTAGAAAGGAGGAAAGAAACAGACAAGGGCTTTCAATGTGAGTTTTACACAAAAATGTTTTGATTATCAACATATAATACATGCCTTTTGCTTAAAGACACAAGGAAATAATATATAAAAATAATACACGCAAGGAAATGGTAATGTTTTTTATTTCCACTCCTTTCCACTGAGTACAGGAAGGAAAACAGAGAACAAACACAACAGTATTATAAATATTTTAAGGTTTATTAAACTATAGCATTGAATTTACATTAATTGTCAGTCACCCCTTAAATTCTACAAGAAAGGGCAAACAAATAACCATTTTTAGGCCTGATTAAAGATAGCAAAATATTCTCAACCAATTAAACTACTGTACATAAGAAAATGATATAGATTCTTTATACCACTTTCCTACAACTCATGCATATATAAAAGGTTGGAATGCACATTCTACTACCTTAAAATAACAAAAAGGTGTGTTTCATACAATTAACTACAGCCTGCTAAAGTGAAGTTCCATTTTGAGTTGTCACTATCTAGATTAGACTTGCAGTAAATAAACTAGTGTTAAATTTTGTTCAGAATTACTTTACTGGTTTACTGTACTTCTAAATTATCAGGAAAGTTAAAGGTAAGTGTTAACATTAATTGAAGGAAATAATTGATATAAAATTCTGCATTCCATCCATTTGCAGGTCTATATTACAGTACAGGCCCTTTCTCTTATACACATCTAGATGTGTATAAGAGACAGGCATTGGGTGGGGGTCGATATTGATTTT